AAGTAAACAATATAAAATTAGTACTCTTATTGATAACCTTTAACCTATTATGCATCATCACATGCAATAACAACTCAATATTCTTATTGATAACCTTTAACCTTTGAAACGTTATCACACACAACAACAACATGGCATTTTCCTAAATTTTAAGGAAATTTCTCGTCTATAGCACCCCAACCTATGTAACTCTTATAACATGGCATATATGCAAACTCCCTAAATCTACTAATTTAGATCTGGCAAAGCAGCATTTGCAGTACCCTCCTGCTTACCCTTAAAAACCTACCCTCACCCAACCCCAACAATTACATTAAGGCCCTTTTCTACAGCCTCTGGTAAATTTACAAGAACTACCCACACAAAAATTATTTCTTTAGAAATAACCTTCAAATTAATCAAGGTCAATACTTCTTCGGCTCATGGATCGATGCTGATGGAAAACATGCCATCGAGCAAAAAGTGGTCCAGTATCCCGCTAGCTATACTACTCCAGAGATAGCAGAGCCGGCCAGATTAACAAGCCTTGGATTGCTACCACAAAAGTCTAAAGCCGGAGTCTCATGCATCCGAAATCCGATGGTACGACATCCGAAATTTGAAGTTATCGTGTGAAATAAAAAAAGCCTGTCACATACATCCGAAAGTTCGTTCCGAAATTTGACAGTTTTGCCATTTTTCTGCTGCATTGAATAGAGATTCATGTCATGTTTTATTGGAGAAACACTTACAAAAATAACTCCTCACCCAACCCCAACAATTACATTAAGGCCCTTTTCTACAGCCTCTGGTAAATTTACAAGAACTACCCAAAAAAAATTATTTCTTTAGAAATAACCTTCAAATTAAACAAGGTCAATACTTTCTTCGGCTCATGGATCGATGATGATGGAAAAAATGCCATCGGATAAAAAGTGGTCAGTATCCCGCTAGCTATACTACCAGAGATAGCAGAGCCGGGCCAGATTAACAAGCCTTGGATTGCTACCACAGAAAGTCTAAGGATTATTACATGTCTGCCTATAAATACTTTCTAGACTGGAGCATTGCTAAAGGCATAAATTCGTTTTCCGAATTCGTGTTATTAGTATATATAGATGCCATTGTAACGGAACAAAAATCAATGTCCTGATTGACTAAAGAATGTTGGTCGGATATTTTCATGCAAAGAACTTGAAATAATATCAATGAAATTCAAATACATATATCACTTTAAATAAAACACAAATTACCAACTTCAGTTACATAAAACAACAAAAAGTCAGATGCTGGTACTCCAATTTATCGTTCTCCAACAACTGTACTCAACTAAAGTTGGTAGAAGTTTTTTTTATTGAAAAAAACTTGAAGCAGCATCAATAAAATTCAAATACATATATAACGATCAATATACAGGGTGTTTCAAAACAAATGCGAAAAACTTCAGGGGGCGATTCCTTATTCAAAATAAAGGGTAGTTTGCTTCATAAACGTTGGGTCAAAAGTATGGAGGCTAGAAGGAGGAGGCGAATCGAACGCAAAAATTATGGGCCCAGTTTTTGAGATCTAAATGAAGTTCGAAAATCGCCGTTAGGGGCGCATGTGATCCGACAGATTGAGAAATACAAAGCTTCTTATGGCAAGAATTACTATTTTGTTATAAATTATAGAGTTCAGTTAATATTTGGGCATATTTTTACCAGATTTAGCTTTTAGAAACGTGTTTTTTTCTAATTGAACAATGTGCGTGGCTAAAATTGTGAATACAAAACCTTAAATTTGAATTTGAAAAGTAAGTTAGAAGTTAGGTTATATCAGATGCCGGTTTTAGATATTCTTTTTCTAAGTTGTTATTATAAAATTGTTTCATTATATGGTTCTTTTTAGTGCATACACGTACCGAAGAAAAATATAAGCTGCTAAAATAAATCTTCCCTATAACTGTTGTACAAAAAAGATTTCCAGCAACAAATATCACCAGTTCAACCTTTGATTTGATGTAAACAGTAATTGTTACTAGATGACAAATGCGAATTAAATAGTTTATGGTGTGATTGTGTTAGTGATTTATTAATAGTTTTTCATAAAAACATTTGAAATTGATATGTTTACAAGCAGTTCAGTGTGATATCATTTTAATAAGCATTAAAAACTTTCGTAACAAACTAGTAGTAGTTTTACCGCAATTGATAGGAACTGAATCACGAAAATTAAAAGTATTTTATCAGGAATAACTTCAATGGAACGTGAAGATGAACACTACTGTTGCACCCTTTGATCAGTGTTATCTATCTCATAGCTTTTTATAGCTGAAACCAGAAAATAGGTACATTAAGCTGAAATGTTTCCCGTGTCCAATAGTGTTTTTTCTTTAGATTTTCTGAATTTAAGTTTTAATGTCATTAGCAAAATTTTGCAAATTGTCACTGTTTCGTAGACAATTAAATTCAAGATGTATTATATTCAATGTCACCTAATAATTGTAAAGGTAAATTTTTGTAAATAAAATATTAATGAATAAATAATGAACTCAATTTATTTTAAAAGAGTTGTAAATATGTATATACCCTGACTTATTTCATCATATATTTATTTATTTAGCAATATTAATACTTTACAACTTTTGTTTTTAACTGACTAATTCCACTAAATTTAATAAATAAAATATACAGTATATAAATTTAATATACAATTTAGCACCTATACCAAAAAAATATAACAGGAGCAAGTTATATCAAGAACACAAAGAATTATAATTTAAAAAAATGCATTCTAAATAAATACCTGGCTACAATATACCTACATATTAATTTAAAGAGCTTATTCATAAAAAACTATTCTAAATGGTTTATATACACAATCAAAAGTCCTTCAACCACTGTACATTATTTTTCAATTTAAATGAAGCATCTCGGGTAAGTAAATTATTTTATATTAGAATACTATATTGCTTTGGCGTAAATTAACTTTCAATAGCACTGTTCAAATGGTGGTTAATACATATCAACAGGTAATTTTAGCCACCAGCTAGTAGGTAAATTATTTTTATTTTATAACAAGGCCTCCTAGGTTATGTTACGCAGATGTTGATTTTAGGCTATATTCTCTATTAATTTGAATTTAAAATTAATCTGTACACTGATAGTATATAATTTGAATGTTTTTCTTAACATCTATCTATATTTTTTTAAATAAATAGTTATCACTTACATTAGGACCTTTGAAAAGGCTTAGGTTTCTTTCACCCCGTTCTTTATTTGCCTTTTTTCCACTGTAAGTCCCACTTATACAGCCAGGTACGAAGCAAGATCTATTATATAGGGTTTTTTTAATCACACCCATTGTTACATTGCGAATAGTTTAATAAAATAAATATAAATTTAAAGAAAAACTAGTAAAAACACAGTTAAATCGTATTCTAACAATGCAAACGATCAATCTAACCCGCTTACAGTGCCTCTGGTGTCAAACCGAGAAACTTGCTTTAAAGTAGGGACAGAAATTTCAAATATGCCCATTGTCGATTCGCCTCCTCCTTCTAGCCTCCATAGTCAAAAGTCAACCATTAGGGAGATATCGCGGTACAAAGATGGCGGAAAAATAATGTTTTTATTTTTTATCTTGAAAACGAAAAGAGATAGTCTAATGAAATGTTATGGGAGCATTACTGCTACGAAAACACACTTTCTGGTAATTTTTTCACTTTTTAAAATGAGTGGAAGGGGTTGAAATAAACTACCCTTATCATTCTAGTTAACGAAATTTAAAGAAAAATCTTATCAAACACATGCAAAAAAATTGATTTGGATAGCTTGGTTTATTTAGAAACTTTTTTATCTCTTGTGTTTCTTTGATAAAACTCGCCGATTTGAAATTAAAAAGTAACATGTAAAGCATTACATATCAGGATCAAAAACATTTTTAGATAAAGAATCTAGTGATAATAACGATAAGAATAAGAATCTAGATAATAACGTATTGTAGTAGAGTAATGTCAATAAAATAATATTAGAAACATCCTAAAAAGTGACAGCGGCCGACTAGATTTTTTCCTAAAAAATTAGAGCAGCTCACTAGATTCTTTATCTAAAAATGTTTTTTGTCCTGATATGTAATGCTTTACATTTTATTTTTTAATTTCAAATCGGTGAGTTTTATAAAAAAAAACACAAGAGATAAAAAAGTTTCTAAACAAACTAAACTATCCAAATTTATTTTTTTTAATATCGTTAACAAGAATGATAGGGGCAGTTTATTTCAACACCTTCCACTCATTTTAAAAAAGTGAGAAAATTACCAGAAAGTATGTTTTCATAACAGTAATGCTTCCATAAAATTTCATTAGTCTATCGTTTTTCGTTTTCAAGATAAAGAATAAAAACATTATTTTTCCGCCATCTTTGTACCGCGATATCTCCCTAATGGTTGACTTTTGACCCAACGTTTATAAAGCAAACTACCCTTTATTTTGAACAAGGAATCACCCCCTGAAGTTTTTCGCATTTGTTTTGAAACACCCTGTATATATAATTACCAACTTTAGTTACACAAAACAACAAAAAGTCAGCTGCTGGTGGTACGATGTATCATTTTTCAACAAATTTATTTTACTAAAGGTGGTAGAGAAAAGTACTAATATACAGGTATGTCGTAAAACACATCTAATAACTTCCCAAATATTTGAAAATAGAATAGTTCGAGATGACTGCGACTCTCGATACATAGCAACTGATGATATTGATGTTTTTATTATCTTTTAGTTAATTTTGACGTTTGAAATTGCCAAATTTTAAGTAGGTAGTGACATTTTCCCCTAAAACATGAATACAATAATTAATAGTAAGATTAAAAATACAAATTCAAACACTCCTCATAATTATTATAATGGTCGTGGACAAAGTATAGTATTCAACTCGCAATTTATAGCCATTATTCACTCGGGTGACTTAACCTAACGTCACCCTGCGTGAATAATGGCTAGCATAAATTGCTCGTTCAATAATATACTATTATTTTAACAGTTCGATAAAGCAGCATCTAATTACATCATCCAGAAGAATTGGTCGAAAATCGGAGAACTGCTACCACACATAACCTCGAATAAAATTTATTTGCAATACGCCAAATCTAAAGAAAAGGAAGGAAAGTACGAAGAAGCTGCCAAAGCTTACGAAAAAGCCAAAGATTTCGATTCATTGATCAAACTGCATCTGGATTATTTGAATAATCCAGAAGTTGCTGTGGAAATAGTTCAAGAAACTAAAAGTGTTGAAGGGGCCAAACTGGTTGCTAAGTAAGTTTCTAAAAAGGTCTAAATCATAATACATCAATCGAGTTATACTTAATTTTACAACCACTTGTATAAAACAAAACCTTAAATTTTTCCAGAGTTTATAAAAAGGGATCAAGGCTCTATATACAGGGTGAGTTTCCTACGATGTTCTCTATGAGTATCTCGAAAACTACTGGAGATAAAAAGTTCATGGCTTACTAGATATTTCGAAAAAAACAAATTTTGGCTCTTTTAAAAATTGTCCCTAATTCCATTATAATCTATTTTACACAAAAAAGTTTTCAGATAAAAGTTGTAGATAATCACATCCCTAATGAGTTTGTGTTTTCCGATTTTTTCTAAAGCCTGTCATTTTTGACATATGACACAAACATAAGTTTTTTTTAAGTGGAAACCATATCTGGCCATGACTTCATAACAAGCGCAATTTTTTAAGCTTTTCAGTGATATAAGCTATAATATGTTTTTTTTAATGACTTAAATTGTTTAAAAATGATAAGAAATGGTTATAACTCGGTATTTTTTTTGAAAAAAACATATAGCTTATATCGTTGAAAAGCTTAAAAAATGGCGCTTTTTATGAAGTCATGGCCTTTATGAAGGATAGCTTATATCGTTGAAAAGCTTAAACTATGGTTTCCATTTAAAAAAACATGTTTGTGTCGTATGTCAAAAATGACAGGCTTTAGAAAAAAAAAACAGAGACGCAATCTCATTAAGGATGTGATTATCTACAACTTTTATCTGAAAACTTTTTGTCTAAAATAGATTATAATGGAATTTGGGACAATTTTTCAAATAGCCGAATTTTTTTTTTCGAAATATCTAGTAAGCCATGAAAATTTTCAAAAATCTGAAAGGCGCATATTAATGACCCCACAAAACTGCAATTCTTTTCCCCATTTAACCGACTGTCTATCTCCAATAGTTTCCGAGATACCCATAGAGGACATCGTAGAAAATTCACCCTGTATAAAAATGTACGAGCAGTCAGAAAGAAAGAGACCATGAAAGCTCTGGAAAAAAAATTAAATGTAAAAAATGAAAATGCATTGAAAAATGCTTGATGTAACTGTAAATCATATGTCAATTATATTAATTGTTGAAGTTTGCTAATTTGAACGAGTACTTTACGAGTACCTATATAAACGAGGAGTTATTTTGCAAGTAGGTATATAACTTTGGTATATTTTATCTCAGTTGGAACACAGCATAAAAAAACTATATCTTTAATAACATAATAAAAATAAGTTAAATATGCAATACTTTTTTATGTTTAGGGTTTCATCTAAAAATCTTTTTATAGAGAACATCAACTATTCAGGAGGATAAATAAAATATAGCAATGAATTTAAGTTTTTGTATGCTATATAAAAATTTTATTTGAAAATTGATCAGTTATTTTGGCATCTATTTTGAGAGACTATTATTTGTTAAAACCCTAGATCATAATATATACTTCAGTGGCGGCTCGTGGCCTGTGGGACTGGGTAGGCGACAAAATTTTAATTGCTTCTATTTGTTCCCCAAAATGTACATAATATCCTAACCCAGTTCGTAAAAACCAATATGTTAGCTTAGGGGTTAAAAACTTAGCTTAAGAATATAGCTTAAGAATATTTAGGATAAAACTAAACTAACAGCATTCAACATAATGAGTTAACATAATGTATATGTGTGTTTTATTTATTTCTTTATACCTTGATTTTTTCCTTTATGCCTTGATAAATAAGGTAGATAATAGTATAATGCAGTTCATCACAGGATTTTATTTTATTTTTATTTATTTACGTAACTTAACAATATGTAAATATATAGACAAATAAATTTACAAAGAAAAACAGATTATCTTATTCATATACATATTTCGAGACTCTTATAAACTCAGGGAAAGAATAATTACTTTTTATATATTATCAAGGTGTATTACTGGTTGCATAACTGCATACTGCTAAATAATCGCAACGTGCAATGAGGAACCTGGCGCATTCGCCAGAAAGTAAAAGAAAATTATAGAATTCTTCTGAAAATTCCAGAAACCATCGCCAGGGGGTATATAAGGCCCGCGCTTTGACAGTTGGACAAGTCTGAAGATAGTCTGAAGTCTGAAGTTTGAAAATACCGCGAAATACCGTTAGAGTAATAGTAGTTGCATAAGTTGTGTTGTAAATAGTATAAGTTGTGTGTACAGAGTGAAACAAATAAATTCGTTAAGTATTTTATCGTGAGTTTAAATAGTGGACCCACGGAATCCGTAACAATTGGTGCCGGAAGTGCGATTCAAGAGGATTTTAAGAAGAAATTAATTGGATTGGAAGATTTTTAGACCGAATTTAAGTATTTTTATGGTTGGTACAAGGGAGCAAGCGAAGAAAATGGAGGAAGTAAGCAAATTATTGGGCGATTTTATGGAGAATATGAGAAGAGAGAAAGAAGAGGAACAAGACCGTCTACAGAAAATACTTATGGAAAATCAAGAAAAAATGTTAGAAAGTTTAGAAGCGCGTCAAAAGAAAGAAAAACAAGAAGAACAGGACTGGCAAGACAAAATTTTCGAAGATTTGAAAATTCAACGATAACAAGACAAACAAGACCGGCTTGAGAAAATTCTCGAAGATTTCAAAGTTCAACGAGAGCATGACAAACAAGAAGAACAGGACCGGCTTCAGAAAATTCTTGAAAATCAAGAAATTAGACAAGAACGGTTGGAGAAAATTGTTGAAGATTTAGAAGTGCGTCGCCAGAAAGAAAAATTAGAAGATCAAAACCGATTTAAGAAGAACTTTGAAGAACTGGAAAAAGGCAAGACATCCACCTTCAAGAAGCCGTAGAAGATCTTGAGGAACGCCTTCAGCAGAAAATGGAAAAATTAGAGATGGACCTACAGAAGACCAAGGTACAAGTAAAGACACCTGGCGTTCATGGAACTGAACCTCAAGGCCCCGACCTACGATGGACAAACCACCTGGACGATGTACCACCGCCAGTTTGAAGCAGCGGCTGCTGCGAATGGATGGACTGGCCAGGAGAAAGCAGCGGCACTTGTCATCGCGCTGCGTGGCCCTGCCCTGGAACTCTTGCAAAGTATTCCTGCAACCCAACAGCAGGAATACCAAACTTTGGTCGCTGCACTGGACAGAAGATATGGCGACCAACATCGACATCAACTTTACCAGGCCCAGATCAAGACACGCATGCAGAGGTCCGGAGAGAGTCTGCAGGAATTTGAAGCAGACTTACGTCGCCTGGTACACCTAGCGTATCCAAGAAGCACCGGAAGGATTTAGGGAAGAACTGGCTGCTCAGTGCTTTATCAGCGGACTGAGGGACAACGAATTGCAGAGGGCGCTGCAAATATCCCGATTTTCTACCAGCAGCGAAGCACTGGTCAGGGCGCTAGAAATTGAAGCTGCTTTTAGCGCCATCCCTAGACCGAAGATAAGATCGGTAACGGTCGAGGAACAGCCCGGAAGTTCTCACATACGTTTGGAGGAGATGTTTAGTAAACTATGTGAGTTACTAGTGAACAAGAGTAGCAACAACACCCAGACAGAGAACCATAGAAGATCACAGGACATAAGGTGCTATAGATGTGGCAGGAATGGTAGTACACGATTATGCGTGGACTATCGGAAGCTCAATGACGTCACTAAGAAGGATAGCTACCCACTGCCACGTATAGACGACACGTTAACCACTCTGGCAGGTTCGTGCTTGTTCTCCACTCTCGACTTAAGGTGGATACTGGCAAGTTTGGTCTGATCGACGGAAGGTCAAAAGAAAAGGAGGCTTTTTTTCTGACAGTGGACACTGGCGCTATGGTATCGTTGGTACGGGCCAACTCAGTGCAAGGGTTGAAGCTGATGCCTCTGAGAAGAAGAGTGTGTTTACGTACAGTTACGGGGGAAATGGCCGTTGTACGGGGAGAGGCTATCGTCGAACTGAAGTTAGGAAATTTGAAGTTCCAGCATAGCATCTTAGTGGCAGATATTGAAGATGACTTCATCTTGGGCATGGATGTGATTCGTCAACATGGATTTTCGTTCGATCACAAGAGAAATATCCTGAATATTGGAAATGAAGAGTTTATGTTATCTCCAGACGAGGGATCAGGAAGAATGGATGTAAGATCAGCGGAAACTGTGGTAATACCTGGTAATACCGAGAAGATCATATTCGGTAAAGTGGAGCAAATCGCTGGGTGCTGTGTTGGACTGGTACAAAGTGGCGACAAGAAACAAGATAGGTACTTAGTAGAAAAATCATTGGTGAACACCGACAAGAATATACCGATCAGATGGTTCTCCACTCTCGACTTAAAGAGTGGATACTGGCAAGTTGGTCTGGACGAGGAAGACAAAGAAAAGACGGCTTTTTCTACAGGAAACGGACTATACCAATTCAAGGTCATGCCGTTTGGATTATGCAATGCTCCAGCCACTTTCGAACGTCTCATGGAGGTGGTGTTAAGAGGATTAACTTGGAAAACGTGCTTGGTTTACCTCGACGATGTATTGGTTATGGGAAGAACTTTTGAGGAGCATTTGCGAAATTTAGAAGAAGTCTTTGGCCGCATACGGAATGCTCACCTGTACTTGAACCCGAAGAAGTGTAGCTTATTCCAGCGACAAGTGGAATTCTTGGGTCATGTAGTCTCGGCAGACGGAATTTACACCGACCAGAAGAAAATCGCTGCGATCAAGGATTGGCCTAAACCTCGCGACAAACATGAACTTAGAAGTTTTCTGGGTTTATGCACCTATTACAGAAGATTTGTCAAGGGATTTGCCAATATAGCTGCACCCTTACATAGACTTACAGGTGATGAAGTCGGCTACGAATGGAACACCGATTGTGATGTAGCCTTTGGAAGACTTAAGGCGGCTTTATGTTCAAGTCCTATTCTAGCCTACCCGCAACAACAAGGGAGGTATATCCTGGATACCGACGCCAGCAATATCGGCATAGGTGCAGTGCTATCACAAGTGCAAGATGGCGAAGAACGAGTGATAGAATATTACAGTCGAGTTCTATCCAAACCAGAAAGGAATTACTGCGTTACCCGGAAGGAGCTGCTAGCAATTGTGAAGGCAGTTGATCATTTTCATAAATATCTGTACGGCCAAGAATTTTTAATTAGGACAGATCATGCGGCTCTCAAGTGGCTTATGGAGATGAAACAACCTGAAGGTCAAATAGCACGATGGCTCGAGAAGCTCCAACAGTATCACTTTACCATCCAACATCGTCTGGAAAAATGCATGGTAACGCAGACGGTTTATCCAGAAGACCCTGTCAAACCGATTGTAAGCACTGCTGTAAAAGGGAACAACGTGAAGACACTGTCATGATAAGGAGTTTTAAACTTGGAACCGATGAACAGTGGACGACGGCACAATTGAGGAAAGATCAAATGGAAGATCCAGACATCGGAGCAATACTACGGCTCAAGGAAGGTAACGGCGAGAGACCACCGTGGCAGGATATTGCGGACAGAGGGCTGGTTTTCAAAGCTCTCTGGGCTCAGTGGAATTCACGGGTGATTGAGAATGGATTGTTAAAGCGCACGTGGGAAAGTGCGGATGGCAGGACAGTAACAACTCAGTTACTGGTACCGAGGAAGAAAGTTACCCAGGTATTGGAAGAAATTCACGGTGGTAAAACTGGAGCCCATCTTGGAGTAAACAAGACCTTGAGCAAGCTGAGAGATCGTTTTTACTGGGTGGATTATTGCGAAGATGTCAAGAAATGGTGTCGACAATGTAAATTTGTGCAGCCAGCCAAGGACCAAGCACTCGATCTAGGGGAAATGAAACAATATAACGTTGGACTGCCATTCGAAAGAATCGCTGTTGACATTGCAGGCCCATTCCCTGAAACGCACAAGGGCAACAAGTACGTTTTAGTGGCGATGGATTATTTCAGTAAATGGCCAGAAGTTTTTGCCATTCCAAACCAAGAAGCATCGACTGTAGCTGAAGTATTAGTCAATAATGTCTTCAGTAGATTTGGAATTCCTTTAGAGCTTCACACTGACCAAGGAAGGAACTTCGAGTCAAGACTGTTCCAGAAGATGTGTGATCTGCTTGGTATTCACAAGACTAGGACAACAGCTTTACATCCGCAGTCTGATGGGATGGTCGAGAGATTCAATAAGACCATTGAAGAACATCTCTCGAAAATGGTGGATGAACATCAAAGAGATTGGGATCAGCATATACCACTATTCCTAATGGCATATAGAAGTGCAGTTCACAACACCACCGGACTTTCACCATCGAAGATTTTATTTGGTCGAGAATTACGGTTGCCTTGTGACTTGGTGTTCGGATCACCAGACGACAGCACCACGAACGTAGAGGACTACGCGGATGAACTGAAGGAAAGGTTATTGGGAATTCATAAGGCCGTGAGAAGTAAGATTACGCTAGCCAGTGACCGGATGAAAGCTCGTTACGACCTCAGAGCTAATTCTACGGGATTTCAACAGGACGATATGGTATGGTTATATAACCCACAGCGCAAGAAAGGAAGGTCCCCAAAGTTAACTCCAGCATGGGAAGGTCCTTATACAGTCATCAAGAGGATAAATGATGTTGTGTACCGGATTCAACGCAGCCCTAGAAGTAAGATGAAAGTAGTTCATCTGGAGCGATTGAAGAGATACCAGACAGGAAACCTTGATCGGGACGATCAAATTTGAGAAGGGGGCAATGTCAAGGTGTATTACTGGTTGCATAACCGCATACTGCTAAATAATCGCAACGTGCAGTGAGGAACCTGGCGCATTCGCCAGAAAGTAAAAGAAAATTATAGAATTCTTTAGAAAATTCCAGAAACCATCGTCAGGGGGTATATAAGGCCCGCGCTTTGACAGTTAAAAAAAGTCTGAAGATAGTCTGAAGTCTGAAGTTTGAAAATACCGCGAAATACCGTTCGAGTAATAGTAGTTGCATAAGTTGTGTTGTAAATAGTATAAGTTGTGTGTACAGAGTGAAACAAATAAATTCGTTAAGTATTTTATCGTGAGTTTAAATAGTGGACCCACGGAATCCGTAACAATATTAAATTGATTCGCCGATTTCTTAATAAAGAAAATTTATTTATTATTATATTTGTAAAGTTATTATCAGATTGTTTAAGGGCTATGAAAATATCTTTTTCGGTTCAAAGTAGAGCAAGTAATAATAAACGTTTATTTTTCATTGAATTTCTAGTGTAATTTTTTTGCGTTTCAAACATGAAAAATGTCTCTCAACCGAAGTACTTGTGAATGCTATGAATGTATTTATACGTCGCATAAATTGTATGAATATGATTATCCATATTGAAAATCAAAATTAATTGCTACAAATTTTAAGCTAAATTAATACTTATCCATATTATCTCCTCCTTGTTAACTTAGAAATTAACAACCAAATGCACTGTACACTAACATGAACACCAAATGCACTGTACACAATAATTCAACGTATGATGAATAATATATGGGAACCACCAAATTTCTAAAACCTATCGAGCTAGACGCGCATGCAGAAGCGACTGAAGATATCGCCTAAACCCGGCCTTAATTCGACGTAGTCATCGATTTCCGTCGCTACCGCGCGATGAGTTAGAGAGAGACAAAATACACACATTAACGGCTGAGTGGGAGATCAAAATTTAATTTGAAAGGCGATGCTAGAAATCGCCGAACAAAGACGGCAGGCATTATACTCCAACGGTCAAAATTATTTTGATTTCTAACGCTGCATACGCCAGCGGTATTTAATTTATTAATATAAAAGACTACAAATGTTAAATTAATATTAATTTTTACAACTCATTTCCGTGTATTAATAGTAGGTATTTTTATATGTATTGGCAACATTAATAGAGTAAATGTTATAATGTAAAAAAAATCTGACAAAATTGTAGGGTTGGCGCCGCCCAAGGATACTATATAGAGATAAGGATAGTTCGATTCCTATCTTCCTGCACTGTCAGTTTTTTTACGTCATCTACTGACCGAGTTGAAGTTGGCGCTAAAGATTTTAGACAGTGACAGTTATTTTTGCATTTGACGGAGGAGCGCACAGTGCGTTGGAAGATAAATTTAGCGGGACAAAAGCGTTTGGTTAGAAATAAGCCAAAAAATGTGTACTGATAAGAATAAATAGTAGACATTCCAATTGATAAAAAATGCATGAATATTCTTTGTATTTCGATACATTTTTATCAACCAAATTTGGTCGTTTTCTGCTCAGCAAGGCAGAGATCATACGAAAACAAAATATTTACAAATGCTTATACATTTTATTAGAAAGCCAAATTATGTTGAAGATTGCCAAAGGTATGTACTTTTCTACTGTATGTATATTATTTGTTAAAATCCTTCGTGCCTTTGTTCTGCAGATATCAAACTTACACTTTTTTTTCAAATATCGATATATTGAATGATGTAGATCTTTTGAGTTACCAATAGTTACCAACACAGGTAGTCGCAGTCACAGGGAGTTCAAGCTTAACAGGTGAATGCCCAAAAAGATTCATTTCAATCGGATAGTATAAAAACAAAACAACTCCATCAAAAGGCACTGAGTTTAAAAAATTGTCTTAGATACTTAATATATGAATTTACAATTACCGAGTGTTAAAATTAAAATTAAAATATCTATCTTATTTATTATTTTCAAAATAAAATATATTTTTTTAAAATAAATTATAGAGGGTGTCACAAGATCACAAATTAATTAAAAAAAAACTGCTAAAGAGTTTTTTGATATCATAATTTTATGTATTTGGCAATAGTTTACAATACGGTTTTTGTGTGTCATGTACGAATAATATCATAGTTTTATTATCTTGTATTTATTTATTAATAAATTAAGTTGTTAATAAATAAATAAATTGTTGCTATATATTAGACCATTTGCTACGTTCTTAGATTTTAAGTCCCAAACATTGACAACTTGAGATTTTGTCCCGCTAGAATAACCATCCGCCGCACTGTGGAGCGCTGGTCAGCGCGCGACGTAGCATTCCACGGCGACTACGACAGCGGCGATTTGACGCGATCGAACAGTCCTTTAGAATATATACAGTCCTTGGGCGCCGCCTACCTTGCTTACCCTGACGAGCCGCCACCGATATACTTATATGATCTAGGGTTAAAACTTGCTAAAAGAAATATTTGACATAGGAGTCTAAAAATTGGTATTTATTTAAAATTAGATATGGAACGACTTTTTGAAATAATTGTTTTCAAATATCGACAAAAACACATTTTTATTTATTTTTTAAATTTAAATTTGCACAGAAAAATTGTACTTACTGTCAACAGGTTTTTTGAGAATAATTTACAGAGTTGTTGAGAACCGCGTTGACACCTCTTTCAGAACTATTTGATAACTTATTCAGAACCACTACAATATTTTTTTCAGAACTACCTTATAACTTATTGATAACCACTTGAGATCTTGTTGTGAACTTGTTGATAACTGCTCGAGAACTTTTTGCCTTGCTGAGAACCACCTAAAAATGTTGTTATGAACCGCTTAACAACTTATTGATTAACAACATTAGATATTTATGAGAATCCCAATAGTTTCAAGTTTGAAATTTCTTCTCATGTTGAACCCAACTCAAACTGGTGATAAAGTCAAATTTTACTTGACGACATAAAAGATCCATATAATGTAGAATTTATGTGTGATATTATTTATCTTTTTAACTAGATTTTTCCAAAAGTTGAACGACATTACATCAGCTATAAAGTTTCTCGTATTGTCACGATGTATCGAGGATGCCTTTGATTTGGCCAAGAAAAATGGCAAAATCGTACTGTTTGGAGACGTGTTACTTAACAGTTTTACAGAAGACGAAGTTAAACCTAAAGACTTTGTAAATGTAGCCTTACATTTCGAAAACGAGAAAAATTATTTGCTGGCGGGGAAATATTGGTTTCACGCAAAGGACTACCAAAAGGTATATTTTTAAATTATAATATGTAAGGAATATCTGTAACATGAATAGTATAAGTAGCATAATAGCTGAAGTACAACTATCGTTCAATGTTACGTCATAATTTTTGAAGTGAAACTTCTTTACGCGCGATGGGAGTAAAAATTCAAAGCCGGACACGGCCTTGACATACGAGCTAACGAGGAAAAAAGTGGTAAGTCAATCAGGAAGTTGAGATGATAAGTTTACGTGAAAGAAACAATTGTATATGACGTAATTTTGACCAATGGTGGTACACAGACTTTACAGTTATTAAAAAATGTCTATACCTATGTGGCGGATTCATCTCTCCAAAAAATCAATACAAAATAAAATAGTTATTTTTCTAAACACTTCTGCGTTAACCGAAACGGAAACTACTTGTCAGAAGTTAGGTTTACAGATATACAAATTTGCGTAACGAACAAAATATGCTTAACTTTTCGGAAAGTTTATCTCTTTCCGTCGTCGGAAGCAAAAAAAAATACAAAGAATAAAGAAAAACAATATTTATAATATTTAAATTCAACTATTCGAGAACACTTTAGTTTTTTAAAATAGATACGTCTACAAAAAGCGTTGACGTTCTGTTAAAATGACATTATATCAAGTTAAACTTCAAAATTAACAATTATTACCTGATACCAATTACTTGTAAATCCAAAAAACCCCAAACTTTCTGTATGATTATTTTTAATTTTTACGTATGTTATGTTTATTTATGTTATGTTCTTGATGCATGAGCAATACATTTATTTTTATTAGATTGTATTAAAAAAGCCTCTTTTATTTTTCTTTTAAAGGCTATCGCTTCTTTCATTATAATTTTGGCGTTATTAAAATTTATTCTGTGCCCTGTATCCCATGAATGTTGACAAATCTTAGATTTGTGAAAATCTCCCTTTCTTAAATAATCTTTATGTTCTTTAATTCGAACATTTAAGGGTCTAGATGTTTCACCAATGTATATTTTATCGCATTCGCATGGTATTTTATATATTACATTTTTTGATTGTTCTATATTCATTGGTTTATTAATATGTGATAAAATGGATAATTATTTTTAGATGCACTGAAAAGTGTCGATTCTGTTGCTTTTGTTTTTTATCATACATTTCACATTTATTTTAAGGCTATGAGACATTTATTGGTAGCGGCCAAATCGAATTCCAAAGAAAAAGAAGCTATCACGGCAGCAATAGACGTCGTGGCATCGTCAAAAGACGAATCGCTGGTTTCAACTTTAATTGAATTTTTGTTGGGGGAGTCTGATGGGATTCCCAAAGAACCTAAGTATTTATTTCGGCTGTATATGGCAAGGAAACAATATAGAGAAGCTTCTAAGTCGGCTTTGATTATAGCCAATGAAGAACAAATTAATGGAAATTATAGGTAGGTTTAATTTTACACTTGGATACTAGTTACGATTTTTGTAAATATTTTTAGTTATATTGCTACTGAAACACCGCATCTCAATATAAAAATATTTTTTTGCATTTATTTATTATACTCTATAGTCTGTCTAACGATAAGATCCTTGACAGTGGTAGATGTGTCTGTCATTTTAATTTCAAAGTAGTTTATTTTATTTTACAAAGAAATAAGTTGGTACAATTGGAAAGCATAGCAGGAAATTAATATATTTAAAATTTGAGTGCCAAGTGATTACTTCAAAATATTGTGAAAAAAACTGTATAAATCTGAAAAAATCTAATCGAGTTATTTTACTTAAAAAAACGGTATGTGTTAATACGAAACAAACAAGAACAAAACACCACATTCCAAAAATTTGAAAAGAACTATTTCTTACTTTCAAGCTTCCCGCATTTATTATATTTATCGATATAACTTATGTACAAATAAAAATTTGTAATATTCCACAGGAAAAATAAAATAAACGATTTTATTAATAATAACACTTACCGAATTTTATACCTTAAAGTTTCATTCAGAACCTCCCAATTAGTGGAACAAATTAGTGGTTTCAATTACACTTTATACTTTTTAGTTTACAATCATTCACAATGTCTAAAAAACAATTAAAATTAATAAGATATCCTAGTAAGCTTGCGGTAGTCTGTTGTATCCATAGAGAAAGCATAGTATTTAGCTTATAAAACAATAAACTTTTGACTTCTAATCAACATTTTTCTTGACAGGTGATAATCAAAGGCCAAAATGGCATTCTTCGCAAATTTTGAAGTATAATTAGTGGAAAAGTCAAAAGTTTGTTAACTTTTTCCACTAATTGAAAATTACTACCTTTCTGAATGCTTACATTAAAACTAGGTGAACAAACTTCTACGACTAATTGAAACTACTAATTTATTCCACTGATTTCGAGGTTCTGAATGAAGCTCAAAGGTTGATTAATTAATTTTAATCTTATTTTTTTTAAACCAGTACCTATTGACACTATTTTTCCGCTGTGCTTTTACCTATCGTGTGATGTCGTTATTTTACAGCTACTCCAATTTTTAGTTTATGTTTAGTACGATCCTTCTACCATATACGAGATGCACTTATATGACGAGATTTTATTTTTTTTATTTTTTGACGAGACAAACTTGATGGTAACTTTATTGGTGTGTAATACTTTCTGCCTGGGCACCAAGTATTAACTATGAACTGTGCTCTGGATCTACAGTTAATTTTTCCTCGATTTTTCCTCCACTTGAATTCAAAAGACACAAACCACACAGAAAAACACGAATCAAAATGCATCATCTTCCAAAACGCAGGGTATTTGACATAAGTTGACACCAAATTATAACCTATAATTTGGCAAGACTTTGACAAGCCTGAAAATTCTAAAGGCGAGTTCATACGTATCGGCGTCCGTTTGTCGTTCATCGTTCCGTCAAACCAATAAAATTGAAATACGATCTGTCATTCTTGAAATAAACCAATAAAACTGGTTTAAAACAACAAGTGACGACGGATGACGGATTTATATTGAAACCTATCCATAGTTAACTTAAAAATTAATTATTGTAATCATCTTCAGATCATTTTTTTACTTAAATAAAATACTTTTTATGTAATAGAAATGCCCATGACGTATTATTTGCGATGTACCAAGAACTGAAGCAGAATAACATCAAAATTCCGTTTGAAATGTATACAAATTTGATGTTGTTGCACAGCTACATGTTGGTAAGGTTACACGTCAGACGGGGAGATCATCTCAAGGGAGCCAGGTTACTTATCCGAGTAGCAAATAATATTTCCAAGTTTCCTTCTCGTAAGTATTACTCATTAATTTATTCTTTAAAACGCATTATTCTGGCAATTTTAATTTTCCAGACGTTGTTCCAATTTTAACTTCGACAGTGATTGAGTGCCATAGAGCAGGTTTAAGATATGCGTCATATAAATATGCTACTACGCTTATGAATCCCGAGTATCGGAAACAGGTAATAAAATCCATTATTTACCTATCGTGTGATGTCGATATTTTACAGCTACTCCAGTTTTTAGTATATGTTTAGTACGATCCTTGTACCATATACGAGATGCGCTTATCTACGACGAGATGGTATGCAAACTTTATTGATGGTAACTTTATTTGTGTATAAGACTTTCTGCCTGTGCAGCGAGTATTAACTATAAACTGTGGGTCTACAGTTAATTTTCCCTCGATTTTTTCTCCATTTGACCTCAAAAGACACAAAACACACGTAATCACACTGTAGCGTTTTTTCAACAACTGCTACTGCGAACGGCAGCTTGTCATCGGAGAGCAGTCGTGGATAAGGTATTTCACTAGAGAGAAAATTAATCAATAATAATAAATAAAAGATATATAGATATTGGGCGCCAGGCATGTACAGAGAAAGAAAACACAGTTGTATAATACTTAAAACTAATGACTATATTTATTCGTGATGAATTCTGATGGTAAATAGCATTGTACAATTAATATAATTATTATAGTGGTTACTTGTTGAGTAAAACTATATATGTAAATAATATTAAATACGTTCATAGAAAAAGAGACTATAAAAGAAAAATGCAATGCATGTAACGATTATAGAAAATATAGGAAAAGTAGCATTACTTATTTAAATTGTTAAATTTATTAATAAATCAGATAGTTGCAAACTGTAGATTCTAGAAGTCTATCTCGTTATTCCATCCTGTTAGGTATAGCGTAATAATAATGTCTATAGAAAGTAATGCCTGACAGTACGTGATATTATGAAATCTAAAATCTAATCGCACTTTTTACTACCATCGACATAAAATATCCTTAATAATCTAACCAAAACTGAAATATAGTCTGTAGAACGCTATTGTTTAAAATCTTACGTTACTGTTTAAGACTGAGAAACTTATTTAGATGTTAAATGCAAAACTAGAACTTAAATATACACTTAGCTGTTCTTTTATGTAACCCTGCTTCAAACAGTAGCAGCGCGAGGAGGTCTAGCATCTCTGTACTGTCTGTCGGCGATCCGTGCTTAGAAATGGGGGTGAAGCAGCACGGGGCTCAAGCCACATCCACGCTGGGGCACTCTATGTGTAAGACAAATCAATCCTACTGGGGACACTTGTCCATGGGACATCCGTCCATAAGATAGTGGCACAGGAGAACACTACTAGGACCTTGAAAAATAGTCCATACCTTGGACACTTGTCCGTAAAGGCAATGTCCGTCCGTAAGAACCCTAAGAACACGAAACTCTTGTTTAAAATCAAACACCGTCTAATAAACAAAATGAACCTACCTCGAAATACTTCCGAGGGCTCAATAAATAATAAACAATCTGTCCTTTCTTCCAAATGACATTCTGGAGGACAAAAGCAAAGGGACGCCAACGTGCCAGCCAAATACAAATACAAGTTGGGACATCCGTAACTCTACCCTAAAATATTCACTAATAATATCGAATCTAAAAGGAAAATAACTCAGCTTTACCTGTAGGTTCGAAATGGCAGCTGATTCAGATAATACAGCCAGATTTAAATGACCACCATTTCTCAACACTGGGACTAATGGCGTCTAAGAGGCCAAACGGTCCAACCAAAAGTGAAGTTAGATCACAGAGAATTGACAGAAGCGATGTTGACAGCGCGCGCTCCCACAGAGCGATACCAGGGTTGTGTCAAACAATAACAGGGTTGTGCCAAACAATAACAGGGTTGTGCCCAGACATCATATATCATAATCAAAGACATGTAACGAACTAAAAACGTTACACTGCCCTCCTCCGAAAAGAAAAGAAATGGACCTGTAAGGTACACTTTCTTTTTCACAAATCTGGGAATAGTAAAAAAGTCAAAGAGAACTACTTCGTAAATTTCCAGAATACATGACGCTGGAGATCTTAAAAAATTTAAAGGTGTAAAATTACTAAAGCTGCTGGTTACTGGATACGCCGTAAAGTACAGAGATACTCGAGTTATTGTTCTGCCAATATAAAATAATACGGAGGTACATCAGCTATTATGGTATGCAAGATTAAAAAAATACTGCTATAGTTAGGTGTTATAAAACGATATAGGTGTAAATTATCGATAATTCAGACTAGACAGGTGCAGACTCAAAATTAATAACGCTTTGTTCTAAAACAACGCGACTCAACAATCATTAAAGAGAACGTCGATCCATTCATGGTATCGATACGTCTCGGTTTATAACCTTGGTGATAGTCTCTGAAACCAACATTCTAGTTCATGTCAGATCAACTACGCCAGAGAAGGAACACTACAATACTAGAGCAGATAGAGGTATATAACGGCCGGTAACCTAAAACCAAAACAACCAAACAAATTTACTGTGCAAGTACAAACCTTTTCTCAGACGGAATGAACAATACTAACAACGCCAGACAAGGAATTATATTGAACTAGAGCAGTTAAAGGTTAACGGTCGGTACTACAAGACCAAGACAACCAGACAAATATACTGTTCCAGCTCAAACCTTCTCTCAAACGGAATGTATCATACTAACAACGTCAGACAAGGAATTACAGACTAGAGCAACAGAGGCTGAAGAAGGCTAACCGAGCCTAAACACCTCAACAAAATTTGCACTAGCTCAACCCTTCTCTCCAACGCAGTGACTGGAACCAACAACAACAAAAACCAGAGATAATCACCAAGAGACAGAACTGTAAAGAAAAGTTAAAATGAAATGAATATGGAAAAATAATACCCTACATCTGTCAGCACGAGGGGATGCACTGTAGTGTACATCAACTAAAATGGGATAAATAGAGCATATCTACACGATATCCCAAAATGATTCTACATGTGAATGGCCGAGTTCAATTTATGCCATTGGCCACGTTTTGCGCCGTACCAATCGCATAAGCCGACTCGTGTACATTCAACAAACAAAAATATGCAACTAAAAACCTTCTGAGCCTTAGCTCAGAAAGAAAGAAAAAACAAAATACGCATCGCCTAGGGTGGTCGACGGAAGGTCAACGCCCTGTCAAGCAAATGGCGACGGAACCCTAACCAGGTATGTCAATCGAATCAATATAAAAAATGAATAAATATAGGTTTTACTTACTAAAGTAAAACCTATTAAATAGGTATTACGATGAAGTAATGCTGTACAGGTAATACCACATATGTAGTACTATTCACGTAGTACCACATACGCAACATCACCCACACAACACCACACACGTAACACCATATACGTAGTATGTGGATAAGGGTATGGAACGAATTTCCAACACTCTCGATGTTCTCACATACTACGGTGGCATTTGACGGACTCTTACCGTCACGAGGAACCCGTACATGGCTATTCTTTACTGTTGAGTATGCAACTAACCAGTAGCACACTCAATTCGCCCACCATGTAGAGCGGATACGAGCCACACGGCCCAAACCATGACCATAGACTAGGTCATAGCCATAGATCAACACAAAACCAAATGTCAAAATGACAACCAAACTCAAAGAGTTACAACAAACCAGTACTAGGTTCAACCCAAAACTGACTACAGTCACAAACATGTCCGAAGCGACATTGCTCCAATCCAAACTCCAATATGTACAACTACTGTACATAAGCTAAAGTACTAAACTAAGCTAAACTTAAACTAAATAAACGTATGACTATTTCCCAACAGTCATACAGGATGTAGTTGTCTTCATGACAACTCATCGGGCACTAAACTAACAACTATCTTGCTGATCTTGCTATCCTAAACCAAAATAATGGTGTGATTGCTCGCGAAACAACCACCCCAAAACAGAAAAAAATAAATAGAGAATCTGCAGTACAATAGAGAAATCGTCACCCCTCTATGTATGCTAATAAGAATCTCCAAGTATCTGTAAATCCGGCTGTATGGGATTTTACTGCCAAAATTTACCAAAAAACTAAATCTGATATAGATGTCGTCAAGACAAATATATTTCATGGGAATGACCCAAAAAAACTAAATATGATATAGATGTCACCAAGACAAATATATCCCATGGGAATGACCCAAAAACTAAATATGATATAGATGTCACCTAGACAAATATATCGCACGGCCGGAAAACTAAAACATAAGTCTCATGCATCAGAATGCATAGACGAACTAGAAGAATCATCTTCTACGGGACTGCAAGGCTTAAGATCCTTAACATGCCAATTTCCGGCAGTAGATCCATCAGGATTCGACAAAGTATAAACAAGGCGTGAAAGTTTCTTAGTTACTGTACATAAAACAAACTTGGGTGCTAGCTTAGCCGCGAATTTGTTAGCTGCATTCGACAAAACCTTGTTGCGACGCCATACCTTATCTCCTATACTAAACGAGATCTCTCTCTTTCGGAGATTGTATGCATTTGCGTACTGAAGATAAGCCTTATTCATATTTTTCCTAACATCCAAAAATAAATCGTGTAAACCTCCAAGTTCGGCAGCATAACCCTTTCTATAGTTAATTCTATTTTATTCGTTCTTCCAAGACGATGTTCGCTATCAATTACTTCAAAAGATCGAATAATTGTTTCAGCCGTGTTCTGCTGTCTAGTCGTTAAATCATCAATCGAAAATAAATCATTATTTTTAAAATTAAAATCGCCCTCAAAGTCTTGAGCACCAAGAACACAATCTTGACAATTCCGAATGCGAAAACTATTTGTCTTAAAATCAATAATTGCAGCACTTTGTGTAAAGAAGTCGCTGCCTAAAATAAAACTGAGCTTAAGAGACGGTACTACTAAAGCAGAAATAACAAAACAGCACGTATCCACAACAATCGGTAAATCTATTACACCCACTACATCTCTTTTAGAACCATCGGCTAAACTAACTGTCGAAAAAGTTGAAGAATTTTTAGTTATGCCAAGTTTACTAAGAAAATTTATACCTTCTGAACCAATCACTGTGGTTGTACAACCAGAATCAATAAGTACTGTAAACTCATGAGAAAAAACATCTATCTTAATAAAAAATCTATTGTCCAAAGGGCTTTGTAAGGCTTTTTAAATAAAATGGTAGAAATTTTAGAATCAGTTTTTAGTCTCTTCAGATTTCTTCGTTTAAGAAAATTCCGAACTGTCCGAAGCCAAGATTCCCAATCTGTGATATTAAATCTAGAAGAGGTTTGTCGACTGGGCCTACGCGCCTCTATCACTAGTTTTTTGAACACTTAGGACAATTTCTCATAGTTACGTTTGGTAAACCACAACGATAACAAAACGTTTTACTCTGTAATTTACAATTATAAAACAAATGTCCTTGTTGGCCACAATTCCAACATGTAGAAGGAGTTTAGGTACTGAACTTGTACTTGGTTCTTGAGATGTACTGGTTGGAGTATTTATAGGATGTGCTGCTTTATTTTGCTTAAAATTTTTACTCAAATTTTTTCTAAAATTATTAACAGAATTTGAGACAGGAGACTTCACGCTACGTGACTGACTTGAACTGGATCCAGCTTGACCGCTAGTACTACAACTACAAACATGAGCAACCGATTGCTCGTTAACTGGACGTAAATTCGCCTCTAGTTTCCGACACATGTCCACTAAATTTGATACT